AGAGGGGGAGGGGAGGGAGGCGGGCGGGGGGGGGGGGGGGGGGCCCCCCCGTGGGGGGTGCCCAGCAGCCTCGTGCCAGGGGTCCAGTGGGATCCTGACACCCCAGTTTGTGTCGGAGGCGGCGTGTGAGCAAACATCTGCTGAGTGAGTCCAGCTGGGACGGGGCCAACGCAAACCCCAGGACCGCGGGGCCGTTGCCCGTAGGAATCCAGTACGGGGGGGCGAGGTCCGACGGGGGGAGGCTCAGCACCGGGACAGGAGGTGCCAACCGGAGTGTCCACAGCCCCCCCCTCTGCTGGGGAAGCCACTGGGCACGGGAATGAAATCAAAGCTCTGCCAAGTCCTTTGCTTTCCTGGACCCTGCGTGAGCTCGGCTGGAAGCGGAGCAGAGGCTGCCAGTGGTAGGAGAGGGTCCCCCCTGGCAGGAGAGGGTCCCCCCCAGGCAGGAGAGGGTCCCCCCCAGGCAGGAGATGGCTCCCGTGGGACTCAAGTCCTGCAGCTGTGGCACAAGGGGTCCTGGCATCTGCTCCAGGCGTTAAGGACCCCCACAGCCCCTCCTCTCATGCTTCAGCAGCAGCTCAAGCGAGCTCTGCCCACGCTCACTCGGGTCCCAGGAGGAAGGGGTTTGACAGACGGAGGCTCCGCTGGCCAAAGCCCAAAAAAACCCAACTGGGAAACCAACCGGTTGCCAGACTTACCGGAGGCTGTCGGAGAAGGCCTCCACACCGAACTTAGAGATGCAGTAGCCCCCACCGAAAAAGGAGACGCGGCCCATCACGCTGGCCACGTTGACCACCCGGCCCCTCGCCCGCTTCACCAGGGGCAGGAGGCTCAGCGTCACCTCGACGAGGCCCACCAGGTTGACGTCCAGCACTTTCACAAAGTCATCCTTGGTCAACCACTCGTTGGGGGCGGTGGGGATGGCGATCCCTGCGTTGTTCACCAACCCCCAGAGGCCTGGCAGAGGGGACGGGGTGAGCTGGGCCTACTCCCCGGCCTACGGGGAGTGGGGTCAGTGGGGTGATGGGGGTGATGATGATGGGGAGGGGGGTCACCCCCGTTGTACCTCGGTCGCCCACACGCTCCCGGACCCAGGCGGCGGCGGCGGCGATGCTCTGGCTGGAGGTGACGTCCAGCAGGAGGGTCTGCAGGCGCGGCGAGGAGGCCGCCCGCAGTTGTGCGGCCCCGGTGGGGGTCAGGCAGGCGGCCAGCACCCGCAGGCCCCGCGCCTCCAGCTGCCGCGCCAGCAGGTTCCCAAAACCGCTGTCGCAGCCCGTGATCAGCACGTACTTCTCCGAGAGCCCCGGCACCGTCTGCCGCTCCCGGTGCCAACGCCGCAGCAGGTACAGCCCCGCCAGCACCGCCGCCAGGTACAGCCACATCCTCGGGCACCGGGACCGGGGTGATCGGGACCGGGAGCTCGGAGGTTGAACGGCTCCGGACCGACTTTGCTCTTGCCCCACGGCGCCACTGTTAATGATTAATTAGTGTGGCTGCGGGCTCGGCTCTGGCGCAAGGAGCGGAGGGACGGCGGGGCCACCCGGTGCTACCGGGCGGCAGCCGCGCCTCCCGTCCCGCCCCTCCGCCTGCTGCCGCCTCCCGCCCGCCCGGGGCTACGGGCTCTGCTCCCGGTCCCGCGGCTCCGCCGGGTCGGAACGGCTCCGGTCGCAACCGTGCGGCCGTCGGGGAATCGTTAAACCGGAGCGGGGGGTCCCGCACCCCTCCGCTCTGCCCCGGGACCCCGGGACCCCGGGAACCCCCGACCTCCGTTGGACCCCGGGCTCCCTCGGTGAC